TCATCTTGCCAATGGCCATTGCGAGCAATGTAGTAAGTTGTGTTCTTGGGCAAAACACTTTACTACCAGAATGCTTCTCTCCACCCCAGAGTACAAATAGGTACCAGCAAATTATCAGGGAAGCTTGATGAAATTAAAGGGGTTAACTTTATGATAGACAAGCATTCCGTCCATGGGGAAGTAGTAATACTCCTGGTTGCTTATGCTAAGGAAACCAGGATAAGCTCTAATTGGTGAAACACTTGGCTCCAGTGCAGACTTTACCATTACCAATCCTCCATAGGAAATATAATCATGGCAAAGGTGATGGGTTTATTCAAATTGGAACAAAACTGGCAAGGTTTTTCTTTTGGGGTAAAATGTCTGAAAGCCAAATAGTACAGTTTACAGTTGCATACTTGGCTGCCAAGCCTAGCCTCTGAATAGGAATGAGGCTAAGGGTGACCTTGTTATGATACAAATGTTGCTGCTTTTCAACTGTAAATTACTTTGCTATTATGATAACTAGATACTGGTCTCTATTCCAACAAGGTCACCTTCAGCCTCACTCCAGATCAAAGGCTTGGCAACTAATATAAGTACACAACTGTAAAATGGCCTACTGGAGTCAGCTCCAAAGAGCTGAGCAAAAAGATATCAAACTCACCAGGATATCAGCATCTGGGAAAAATTGTTTGGAATACTTAGTCATCAAAAGAGACTCATCATCACTGAGAAGTGAATTCCAATCATGACGCATGTTAAATTCTTTGTTTGTTTTTCCTGAAATTGGAGAAAATTGTTTCAAATCAGATTAGGCCAAGAGGTTTAAGTTTCCTTAAAAAAGAAAGATAGTCTAGTGTAAGTAGAAAACTTGATTTGACACAATTAACAAATGGTAAACAACACAGTGTACACTATTCAGTTATGGATGCATGCGGGAGGTTACTAAGCACAAAAGAAGCATAAGAGTCGTGCGAGGCGATAGCCGAGAGCGACTCTAGCTTCTTGAGTGCTTAAGCAACCTCCTGAGTGCATCCATAACTTGATAGTGTATGCTGTGGTGTTTACCATTTGTTCATTATTCTTAATACTTGTCTGCTTGATATTATACTGATAATGTAAGGAGAAATTCTATCTTGGTCACTTGTGGGAGTTAGGGATTAACACAGAAATTGCTATTTTTAATCAAGTTTCTTTTACAAGTTAACATACATTCAATACCCTATGTACATGTGCATCTGTGCCTTGCTCACAATTTTCATGACTTTCAAACTTAATACCTATGATACAACATCTCAATTTGGATAAGAGAGCTTGCATATTCATTCCTATCAAATAGCTGCAGTTTCAGTTTGACACTCTGACCCCAATAATTTCTGGAACTATGGGTAACTGAAAGGTTCACCTACAATTTGGTTTCCTAATGACCAGTTCGCCAACATCTTAGGTCTTCTTGCCAACATCTCAGGGCATTTTGTTAAGGTCTCATGGGTAATTGAGCTGATATACTACAAAAGGTAATAACTGATTCAATCCACTGAACCTGATCAACTTCTAATTGACCAAAGAGTCAGAAGACTTGAGGTGTTGGCCAACTGCCTGTTTGCAAAACAACTTGTGGGTGAATAGGATCACAATTCAAACTATATGAGGAATTTTTATAGTTCATCAACTCCTTCTTTCTCCCTGGCTGTGTTGCTGCAAAGCAGACTGCCCATTGCTGACTACAATGGGCCACTCCTGGTTAAGTGTTAACCACTTCTGCCAATAAAACAGACATTTTGTCCACCAGCAGTGGAGAAGAGCACCATCAAGAATGATCCCAAATCCATTCACTATGTAGAATTTCACACAAGCTGCTGAAATGCAAAGTTCAGAATCGAAGCACTCACAGAGATGGAGAACACATTAAGGAAAAGTCCAACAACAAATACAGTGAACCAGATTATGGGGGTTGGCTTATCTTCTGGTCTATGCCCCTAAGGATAAAGGAGAGAAACTTATGTTGGTCTTGCAAATATGCAATTGAAACTGAAATTTCTAAATTACTTTTCGCTAGAAGTACATATTTGTAACATCTATGGTTTCTAACTTCTCATGCTTAAATCCTTTAACTTCCAAGATCTGATTGCTAATTCTCCCTTCTAGCTGCTATACATTTCCTTTTAACATAGTTACAAGAATATGATGCTAGATCAACACAAAAACTTATAGGTATTCTCATTACCTTTTTTCTGGAAAATGTATGGGTGTGATAAGGAAAGGTTACATGATAAACACTTCTGGGAAGTTTAACAAATTGATACAGCGGTTTGGCGTGTTGTGTACTCTAATCGACAACAATATTCATCATCATCACAGTGGCCAAAATGCTGTGGACTCAGAAGGCACATGCACCTTCAATCACCTGTTAATTTACCACCAGGTTTAAGGGAAAAGAGTGGGACAAAAGTCTAAATGGTAGGGTGAAGAAGAGAGTAGAGTAGAAAGGGGGGAGGGGTATGCAATAGGTGGTGAAAATAACGATGATGAAAGCTATGATGATGATGGTAACAAAAAGGAATCTGATTATGAATAGAAAAATGTTGATGATGGTAAAAATTTGAGATGAACTGTAAAAATGTACATCAATAGAAAAAGGCCTGGAAGTAAAAATTACCTCAGCATAAGGTTTCCCCTTTTTCTTGATATCAACTTTATGTCAGCACAATTCACAAGTATTCTTCACTTCTTTTATAAACCATGTCAAAAGTCATGCTGTATGAACATGATTTGCCAAGCCAGAACAGTAGCACTGAGTTATAAGGGCTTCTTTCAAATGAAAAGAAGCAAATAGTGGCAAATACGTCAGATGCTCTACCACTCAGACAGGTCAAAGTTTTCCAGATCAGTTATTTTGCCCTACATCATATTGGCTACATGCCTCTGCTGAAGGTCTTTCATTACAATGTAGACTCACTGTTGTCACTGCTGTCTTCCAGCAACAGAGTTCTGAGGTACAAGGTAAAGCAAGAAAATAAATATAGAATTTTCTTTATTTGGTGTGAAAATATGCACACTCAGATATTCTCTGCAGACATTGTCTGTTCCAAACTGCAAACAGTTGTCCAAGTGCAAAAGCTTGAGAGAACTGAGTTTCATTAAGTGTCCATCGACAAATATACCAGCACATTTTCACAAAAAATTGAGGCTTTTTTGTTTATTATCCTTCAAATATGTTGCAATGTACATGAAAAAATGTTTGCAAACAGCTTACTGTTTTCTGTGGGGAATGTTTTCTTTTGACTGTTCTCTGGTATGAATTCATGAAAACATAACATATTGCCCTCTTCTGTAACAAAAACAAATTGCTCTCTCATCTTGAATTAAATTTTCAAGAAGAAAAAAAAAGAGAGGTGCTCCAAAAGTAAGGACTATAGACTGAGCTCAAGAATTCGACCTTGCATGGCTGAGTGGTTTTTAGGCATCAAATTATTTTTTCAATTATATGTAACTAATAAGATTTTTTATCTTAATTACCAGTTAAACTTCATGTCGCTGCAATATGCAGGTGATCTTAGAAAATGAAAACATTTCAATTTAGGAGGCCCACAATAAACTGGAAATCTGTAAAATGTTTGTAGGCAGTAAGGATGAGTCTAAAGCTTGTATCTGCCAGTGAGAAGAGCTACTGGTACCTTAGTCTACTCTGGTTTAAGCAATCTCCTTATAAAAAACTGTAATAAACATTCTTGCAAGTCATCAACCATGATCAATCTCAACTGATAAACTCAAATGATCAAAAGTTATCCACATGCAGTTCCTAATTATTTACTGTGTGTTCAGACCTGACAATCCTGCTCTTCCCCCACTAAGCTCGGATGATGATGCTCCAGAACCAGTGTTGCATGGGGCCACAACTTTTACTTTGTGCACAGAAGCAGATGCTGACTGCTCCATCTCTGATGTGCCAGTAGTCCCTTCCACTGTTGTCACAGTGATACTTGTAAGAAGCCCCAAAGGGTAATCAAATACTGTATTAGAGAAAGAAATAAATAAAAGATTAACTGTGAAATTAGAAAACAAAGAACATTAGAAATATTTGTATTTCAAGGACAGGCTTTATTATCAGGTGTCAGATAATTGACCACAAACTGGTCAAAGGTAAAGTGAAGTCTGTTTATGAGCCAAGTGGCCCATTGGACAAGTGCTTAAATCTGATTTGTGTAGCATGAAGTGACTAGGAGTATTTCTACTCCCCCCTGGATGGAATGCTAGCCCGTTGCAGAGTTATCCCCAGCTGGTATTCATTTATTCTCCTGGGTGAAGAGGGTGAGGCACTGTGAGGGTAAAGTGTCTTTCCCAAGAACACAACACAATGTCCCCACCCTAGGCTCAGACCCAGACCACTTGATCTGAGTTGAGTGCACTAACTATGAGGCCACCATGAGTTGAGTGCACTAACTATGAGACCACCACCCCTCCCACAAACTGGAACCAGAATTAAAGTAGAACCTTGCTAACTCAAACTTGTGCAACTCAAACTCCTCACTAACTTGAACTAATTTGACTTTTCCTTGGGCTGAAAGTTAATCTCACTGATAATTTGAACTTAACTTAAAACATTAGTCTATTAACATCAAAGTGTTGGAGCATAGCTAATTGACATTTCCAATCTTTACTCATGATTGATATACAAAAAAAACATGATGACATCTACGGAAATATGACACATTTCAGCTTGACTTCCCAAACTTATCAATCCATCTGAAGGCCCTAATTTTTTAAACAAACTAAATGTGCCAAAATAACTTCTAATGATGCAAGAGTGGTAAAAACATGATAAAAACATTCTAAACAAGATTATTGAAATTCAACACCAATCTGAGTACCAGTATCTTGGATCCTGCTAACTTACTCTCACATTATTTTGGATACGAGTGTTAACATATGCCAAGAGATTTTACAAAAAGCTATAAAAGCTAAGAAACAACATGATAAGAAAAGGGAACAGATCTAAAGTAGCAACTCATATACTTGAGGTCTGGACAATCAAGCTTTGATTCTGCCTTTATCACTTGGCAGAGACCTGGAGGAGAAAATT